CTTTATTTATTTATTTTTTAATGTTTTCTCCTGTTTACAAATGGTTATATCACATTTGTTCTGCTAAATTAGCTTGATTTATTACTATTACTACTGTAAATTTAAATTTAATGTTTCAATATTAGTATAACATACAAAACTTTAATTTGCATGGTGCAGAAACAACATTATAATATATGATGATGTCGGCAACATTTCCATCTTTGACCTCAAATTATTTGAATTACATTTCCATAATGTTTTAGATTGGTGTTGAGAGCAGAAATAGCATTTCATGAACTGAAACACAAACAAAAATTTGTGCCCATCATTAAAGAAGAAATCCTGTGGGACATTACAAGGCTTCAGCATAACAGAGGTTGGATTTTGCACAATCTTAAAAAATATTCCAAACTTAAAATTGGCTCTAGAGCAGTATGTAGTGGAATCAATTGTATCTGCAAAAGACAACATGTATGTATGTATAAATAAATAAATAAATAAATATACATACATGTGTGTGTGTGTTCATACATACTTGGATTTTGAAGCTGAGTTAATGAAATTTTGGCTAAATCCTTCTTGTTCTTCTTTTTGTACAGATGAAATTAGCAAGTTTACTTTATTTATCCTTGCTTTTAAAAATTAGTATTTTGTGGTCTATATGATCTTGAGCAGCAGATAATGTTACCAGTGGTACCCAAGAGAACTACAACTCCACAACTTAAATTAATAGTTTTATTCTCATCTGTAAAACCCCTGCAAATAAGATGAAATCTATCAAAGGAACCCCCCCTGCTGACTCAACACAAATAAAAATAAAAATAATAATTCAAATACAATGCACTCTGCAGGGATTCAACACAGACTCAACCTCCAAGGGCTTTGAATAGAGTTGTGCTTCTTTGACTTTCATAAGACTGTTGTGCTTCTCACAGGGTGATAAACCACATCCCAGTTGACCTTGTCAGATGATAACAATGAAGAAGAAATCCTGTTCAACTGTTACAGCCTCTCACTGATTCACACTGTTGGTCCACATGAGGAACTAGTTTTCTAGTCATGGCTTTGAGCTTGATGGGTTCAAAACTTGCAAGACTTTCCAGCTCACCATCCCTTGCAAAGCATGGACTTGGCACAAACAATATGAATTTGAAGCTGGCTGTGATGGCTCACTCACATTGATCTGACCTTATCATGGTTACAACAACAGCTACAAGGGATGTAATTTGTGGACAAGGGGAACAAGTCTTTCTCCACTCTTATCAATTTTAAGATGCTCTGTTGCAAATCCAGTAGTGTTTTTTCACCACCTTCACAAGGCTAAACAAACCAGCACCCTTCTGCGACAAGTGTAGAAGAAGTCAATGAATTGTGTTTGATGACAAGCTTGCAAAGCCTTGAAGTAGTAGAACTATATTTTTTAGAATTCTCCTCATATTTGATTTGATATATTTTTTTATACTTTGCTTTATGTTTACGTTTTATCAAATTTAGTAGATGAAAGTTCAGTAAACAGTCTGAATTTTACCAGGCCTTTCCTCCTGTTTTTGTAATAGTAATATCCACTACAGACTTCTGGTTTTTATTGAAGAATTGTCAAAGTGAAATTGCCACTTTTTGTGTTGTGACAATGTTTGGATCAAGACAGCAGCATTGTCAGAGTCCCAGTTCAGAATTTGTGATGTTTTTTCTCTGAAGTGACTTGACTTGTAGAAGGACAATACAAATGATCCCACACCATATGGCAGAGAGGGTCCTTGTCAACTCAGCTTGTTCTTCCAAGTCTGACTCAGAAAGAGCTGAAAGACTGGACTCTGGATGCTGGTCAGAAGCTCCAAACTTATTTTCATGTGAGGAAATTCAATACTTTACCATATGTAAGATTGTTGCTTGGGGTAGCTTTTGAATTAAATAATCCATTAAAAGAAAATATCAAAATAGTTCTCCTGTACAGTATGAAAGGGGGGCTGAAGTTTTTTTTTTTTTTTTTTTTTTTTTTTTTTTTTATGTTTTCTCTATAGGTGAAATAATTGGATTGTAGTACTGTTCTATATGAATTCAGGTTTGAGTTATTTGCTAAACATGAAAATGTTTACTTCTCCAGTAAGTAGTTAATTTGAGTGAAAAGAGAATTTTAAAGCCGTGTTTTTTTCATGAATTGTTTGGATCAGGTGTCCAGAATAGATGATCTTGCTTTGTGCAAGTGGATGGGAAAGCTATGTGTGTCCTTGTTGTGGATGATTTTGCAGAGTGTTGAAAAATTCAATGTTACAACACCTACCAGAATCCAAACTCTGAAAAGGTAATAAGGGTCCCCACCATTTTGGTGTGAAAAGTACCCTGGGATCATGTCATGACTAGGAATAGAGCTTAAGCAAACAACTATGCCTTTGACAGAATTGAAATTGGTATGTGAATCTGCCCAAAACTCACTGGCAGAGTCCACATGTACAAACACACACACACACACACACAGCCCCCAGTTCTAGTAAAAGAATTTACTGTATTCTCCATTGTCAGTCAGCAAAAGACTCTTTATATGTTCTCAAGCATCACCCAATTTTGCACACTCAGACAATGGTGTGATTTGAAAACTGAATCTTTTCAATAACAGTATCAACAATACCAAGGGGATAGTTTCCTAATTTTGTCATAATAGGATACTTAGGGAGAATGATCCCCTGTTGGTAGGATGAGGAATATTGGTTTTGAGTCATGAACAAGCCTACCCAGTAAGAAGAGTTCCACACAAACAAGGAAATGATTCTCCTGATGAAGCCCAGTAATTCCAAACCTTTGAACTGGGTTGATCTGAAGCTGCAGAAAAATCTCAGAGTATAGCAAGAGACTACAAAACTCCCAGCGGGTCTTGATGTTGTAGCAGGAATATGCTTCTATGTTGGCTGGTGTCTGGATTCTCCCTATTTATCAGTTACATCCTACACTTTGGGTCATATACAGACACTTGAAAATTCTTTCAGTAACAACAATTTTTGGTCACTAGCAGAATGCAGTAAACACCCTGGAAATGACCAGCAGAATTTGAGGTGCCAAGAGGGCGATGGTGGTTGTTGAAATCAACCAAGAAGGTTGCTTTTTTGGAGTCCCAACACACAATAATTTAATTGCAGATGTATGACAAAGGAATGACAGGAGTTTGGGGTTCAGGTATTGTAACTAAAGTGAAGGAGAAGGAAAACATGGAACTTGTTAACAGTGTTAGAGGAGAGTTCCTTGCATGTTGTGGAACAGTCCACAAAAAATAAGCTGCAATGGGGAAGGAAAGGGCACTTGTGAGTAGTGAAGAGTCCATTTCCCTTTTTCCATCCCCATCTGCAGCTGGTGCACAAGAAAAGAAAAAATAAGAAAAAACAAAAAGAGAGACAATCTCTCTCACATAAGTTTGACTGGGACTGATGTACTCATGCTTATGAACCACAAAGCTCTAACCCCAATGCTTTGTAGGATGTTTTAAAACTGTAAAAATCTCAAGCTTTTTTACAAAGTTACCCTAAAACTATTTATGAAAGCTGTTGCTGTAACAATCTGTTCATTCAGATGATGTGACAGAGTGCTGCATCTGTTGTGGAATACCACCTTGCTTAAGATGTTTGGGGACAAGCTTAGATTGTTTTGGTATAATAAAGAAATATTTTTTTCTTGCTGTTCTTTTTCTTTTTCTTTTCACTTTAAAAATTGTGATTATGCAAGTAGTTTTTCAACTTTCATTCTTTTTTAGTTGTGATTTAAATTCATCAGTCATTGTGCAAGAATCAAACAATTTGAAAACCAAAACCACAATTATGGTTCATTTGCCAGCAGTGTTTTTGACCTCAATTTTCACTTAAAAGAATAAAAATCAATTGGAATGGAAAATTGGGTTTAGCTCTTTTCTGATTTGCTGTTGTTCTGTGCATCTCCATTTAAATAATATATATATATATATATATATATATACATGTGTGTGTGTGTGTGTGTGTTCTGCCTTTGGAGAATAGTTTTAAAACATTGAGCACCTAGCTTCAAGATCATGCCTATATAGTTAGAGTAAAATCCATAACACATATAAAACAATAACATAAAATTAAATAACACTCTTATTCCTGCTCAATTCATGTGGGTTTCTTCTTTCCACCCAGAGAATACCCAGATTGCCTACAAGGGAACAATGTACTCATTATCTAGTTCCAGATTTTGCAATAGCAAGGAATTATTCCAACATCCACTTTTGGTGCAAAGCTTACATAGCTGTATTTACAAGAAACACATGAAAAATTGGCTTCCCAAAACCCACATGTCATGCATCATATCTAGTACATTATCTTTGAATATGGATTAACCAACTGGAGAGACTGACATCCCACCAATCCATCTCCTTTCCATGCATTTTGTGAGAGTTGTGTGGGCCACACCAAGTTAGCTTTGTGATTGTACCACACAATTTACTCACCAAATTAGAGCAAAGGATCTCTTTTCTCCCAAGTTAACCACATGATATTGGCCCTTTTTGTAGCTTGTATTGTCATTGAGAAGGGATATCACATATTCATCAAGACCCACATCCTTCACAAGCACCAAACTAAAACTCCAGTCACAAACACTAAATTTATGCCTTGAAGTAAAACAGAGTTTCCACCCTCAACATCTCCCACCAAACCCACAGTGAAACAGGGGAAAACAAACACATGAGGTTTAGTTTCTAGCGAGGAAAATAGAATCCAGACAGAATTGCAGAAGCTCTCTGGGAATGATACACTTCTGCTACCACAATTAAAAAAGCCATGTGTGAGCGATGAGCATTTTGAATACTTTCCGAGGTCATGTTTTCCAGAAAAATTAGAACGGGGGCGCTTCTTTTGATCAATGTACCGGAAAAAGGCTCCAGTACTTTCGTTGATGACGAACGACAGAGAAAGGGCGGTCTTAGGATGGGCGGGGCGGGTGTCACTCCACCCGACCCGGCCCGTGCTCCACCCGGTGATTCAGCGGGGGCTGGCTGAAGCAATAAATAAACGCTCCGCCGTTCTCCCTCTCGCTTTGGATCTTCTCCTCTTGACTGCGCTTGAATTTCGCACTTGTTTCTCTTGGATTTTCACGTTATATCAATTCGTGCAAGATTCTTCTACCTTTCGATGTACATCTAGTTTGAAATTGTCTACCTTCTGAGGGTTTGAAGCGAGGATTAGAGACTTACAATTGATTTGTGGACTAGTTAGTGAATGTGGTTGCGTGCGGGAGGTGGAGCTCAGGAAGCGTGCCTGCTTGGGAGTTGGATGCACTGGATTGGATGCAGTTCGTAGCATTGGTGAGAGGATAGTTGTACAGGAGTTGGTTGTGGTGTTGGGAAGCGGATTGCTATTGGTTATTGGTGAAGTTTTTGTGTGAAGAGTCTTCAAAATGCATGCGTCGAATCTTTTGAAGGCCGTGTTGAAGCCTCGCACGTTGTCTGCTGCCTCGAGGCAGCGATCTGTGAGTGATGGTGGCCGGGAGCGTCGTTCTTTGTCGCCTGATAATCGTCTTCCTCCCCCTGTTCTTGCGGCCAGGAAGGCGGCGAGTGTTGCCCCTGTCGTGAAGAAGATGACTTGTATGTGCTCTCCGACCAATCATCCTGGGTCGTTTCGTTGCCGGTATCACAGGGAAATGGCTGCGAAGGCTGCTTCGGCAGCAGTTTCTTTTCCTAGGGGGAGGAGCCCGGCACCAGCACGCCCATCGACTAAGTCGGTTGGTGGCGATGCGCAAAGCAATATTATATTTAGCGAAGTGAATCGAACTCTGCCGGGACGTGCGTCTCATATTTCGAGGAGTCCTACAGGAAGGACAAGCAGGCTGCAGAAGATGACCATGGGCACTGGCTTTGAGGAAGAAGAAGAACTTACATGCTCGATTTCGGATGAGTGAGTTTTCATATTTCAGATCTGCTTTACAAGTGTCTGCTTGCGCACGTGTGTGCGCTCGTGTTTTTCTGGTATTCATTCTTTTTGAGCGAGCCTTCGTTTTCATCACAGGGGTTAGTTATCATGGTGAAGAGTTGGTTCAGAGTGCTTATCCCTCGTATGGATATCTGATTTTTTATTTTTAATCTTGCAGTGTGCTGACGAATTCAAACGCACTATCTAGCATGCGAAGATTGTCCCCTTCGAACGGGACGCGGACATCGATGTCCTCATTTAATGCTGATGTTCATCGAGAAAATCCTACAATGTTTTGTCAAAGTACTTCTAGAGTTGCCTTAGATGTTTTTAGTCGCAGCATGAGCAAAATGTATCTATGATAGCACGTCTGGGTGTGCGGATTTATTTGCAATAGTCTCTCTGGGTACACTGAGGCTTTGTGTAGCAGTTTCTTATGTTACTCGAAGGGGCTCTGTATATATATCACCTGGGAGTTGGAGAACGAGGAGCGTCCTGGGATCGCTCAAAATATAAACTGTGAAGACTGTATATTATGATTTTTTCTTTTGTACTACGTAGAATTTCTGGGAGGACGCAATAGTTTTCCTTTTGAAACCTTATAGACAATATAGTGAACTTGGGCTCTAGCGAGGAGTCGGCAAATATCTAGAATGATGACGAGATCCTCTATGGTCGAATGAGTACCTCTCTGTTGGAGGGGATTAGGGAGAATGCATCCCTTGTGGACGAAGGAACGGAGAATTATTACATGCTTGAGAACCATTCATGCACTTCGACAATGTTTCTTTGTTGGCGTGCAATGGCCAGTGTCTACCTTGTTGCCTGCAACTCGTTCACTGTTGTGTTTACTCATCGTACGGTCCATGCATGGACATGTATATCTGTGAAGGTTTGTTGGTTCCATTCACTTACAGCGACCCTCTCATTCTCTCCTACTTGTGTGTATTCTCTTAGATTTGGATTTTTGTACACATCACACGAGAAGTCATGTGAAAGTGTTTGTATCAATGAGCATCGAATCTTTCTCTCCATTAGATCGATTGGTTCAAGCTCTATCACTTCAGTTATGTTTTTCACTGCTCACATGTTCCACCTTACTAAGATAAATTTGTGATGTGCGATCTGTTTAGAGACCTTCCACTTAATGTGTTAATGTTCCTGCCAGTGCGTATCTGTATGACGTGTCCATGTATTGTGCATGTTTTGATCCGATTGTATTGACACTTTCTGTATGGCAGGAGTTCCACGCTAATTGAAATTTTTGGCCCTGAGCATACATTTTACATTTCACATCATGGTGTGAACAACATTCGGTATCGTTACATCTTATCCAGATCTGTTTTTTTTTTTTGCACAATCTGTATGATGTTCAGTGTGGGTGTTATGAGATACAAATCTTCATGATGTTTTCTCCTACTTGGGGTGCTAGTTGTGGCTGGATGTTTGGAGTTTAGAATTGAGATTGAGCCAGTAGTGTGTTTGGTGTGTTTTGTTGTGTTTTCAAGTCTTCTGAAAAGTAGTATATACTTGTTCAATATGATTTTTAGCTTGTGTAGCACCTCTGTTCCTAAAGTACTTGTTTGAGATGTTTGTATTTATTCGGATTTTATATCAAGAGGTGTGAAATGGTGAAGTCGTACAGACACTAACATATTAATTTTGAGCTGATTTAAATCCAACAGGGAACGCTGTTAGGTTCGGTTAAGGTGGTGACTCAGTTCAGAAACTGGTGCAAAGCTTCTTACGATTGCTTGTAATATGTCCTGGCTGTACCAGGGCATCATAATATTTCTCTAGGCCGTAATATTTCCACCTTGAATATCTGTTGCGAACAGGAGAATCATTAACACTTATATCAACGTCCTCGCACAGGTGAGATTGGAGACGGGATTCGAAGATATCTAAGTTGTGAACAGAATTACACTTATTACTTTATAATCATCTTAAATATACTCGGAGCTAAGAAAAACATGAATTAGAAAACACTAGCCTTGTGTCATGAACTTCGTTGTCATGATTGGAGCTGACACTTCCACAAAACACAAGATGAAACCTTGAGGTCACTGAAAGATATGACGCCGAACACGCAAAAGCACACAAGGAAGAGATACAACTTCTGCCGCAACCACATGTGGTCCTGCGTGAGACTCATTGCCAAGCACAAAAGCTCACGAAAACATGACCTTCCAGACACATGGTGTTTCAGAGAAACCCTAATGGTGCAATAAAGGCTTTGGAATCAACACGGGGCAAAGCAGGAATCAGGTTCGCTGGTATTGTATGAAGTTGCGCAGTGGAAGTGCGCCGTTAGTTGTATCCCTTGGGAATTGCATGAATGGTGATCTTCAGCTTTTGCAATTAGAGATATGTTGCGAAGCTCGTCAGTGTCCAGCTATTGTATCAGCAACTATAGAACATGGAGCGATGACAGAGTATGATGTACTTCAGTCCTTCACGGAGCTGTGTAAACAGCTTAGCTCTGCATCGTGTTACATGAAATTGATGCCGGAGCTAAGCAAACGGAGCTGTGTAAACAGCTTAGCTCTGCATCGTGTTACATGAAATTGATGCCCGAGCTAAGCAAACGGAGCTGTGTAAACAGCTTAGCTCTGCATCGTGTTACATGAAATTGATGCCCGAGCTAAGCAAACGGAGCTGTGTAAACAGCTTAGCTCTGCATCGTGTTACATGAAATTGATGCCGGAGCTAAGCAAACGGAGCTGTGTAAACAGCTTAGCTCTGCATCGTGTTACATGAAATTGATGCCCGAGCTAAGCAAACGGAGCTGTGTAAACAGCTTAGCTCTGCATCGTGTTACATGAAATTGATGCCCGAGCTAAGCAAACGGAGCTGTGTAAACAGCTTAGCTCTGCATCGTGTTACATGAAATTGATGCCGGAGCTAAGCAAACGGAGCTGTCATCTCTGGAGAAAAACGCAATCACACAATCTTATGTACAGGGTCAATTCGCACAGCCTGTTGCCTTTAATGCCCCTCTGCGGCGCTGGTTCCTTTGACACCATCGCCAAACTCCTCATAAGCTGGCTTGTGGCCACAGCCTCACCATACCCAATTGTAAATAATTAGCTTCTCGCCTTCTTACCTCAGATTGCACATCGGAGACTTGACAACCCACAGCAGCCAATTCGTGTTCGCAATTAGGGCTTGAGGAGATGGGTGAGCAATCCAGCCTTGGCATACAACTTGTCAGTGGCATAATTTGTTGTATTATTGTGAACCAATGGCTCCTGAGCTATTGCTACTTCTGATACTAGCTGTGGATGAGCTGGCACTTAGTTGCCAAGCTGTAGAGTTCGTTAGACCCCTTCCCTGTTGATATGTCACCCCTGACCAATTGCAATAAATGAGAGTCATGAGTTTCAATACATTGTAAGAAAATTTTAATCACAAGTTTTACATACTTTGATGACATTGATTGGGGTCGTAATTGAATGATGAAATTTAAGCTGGTTCAACCCTGCAGTGTGGAATCAATTCATTTACGATTTTTTTTTCTCTTTTCTGAACATGTGTTTCATATGTATGTATATGTATATAAAATCATAATGTGAATATAATAACCAAACATAACATGTAAATTTATATTTAGTGGTGGAACAATTTATTAACATCAACTTTAAATATATTTTAACTAGTTGTCCTATGAGCCATTAACTTCATATGGGGTCATTATACTTAGGAGACAAGGTGAGAGGACACAACTTTTGAATTTTCTGATTGGCTGCAATATATAGGCTTGTCAATAATAGCCAACCAAAAGATTTAAAAGTTACAACCTTTCACCTTGTCCCCTTAGTATAAGGACATCTTAATACTATCTTAATACTATTCCACATGACTGTGTTTCAAATCAATTTTAAAATATTTAATTTGGTTTTTAAATACTATATGCATGTATTATAACACAACTTACAATCAAGTTTGAATGTTATAATATATTAATAATTTTTCTTCATATTTTCTTTTAAAGATAAAACTTTTATTCGAGTATTCTTTTGGAAAAAGTAAATAAATATATTAGTTACAATGACTACACATAGAGAGAAAAGAAATGGAACAGATGTGTTTCAATAAGAAATTAATATTATCCATAGTACAAATCCTTAAAAAGTAGGATGATACTTAAAGATACACATACCAATTTGAATTCTGTCAAAAGCAATGACTAGGGTTATAATATTACATCTAATAACTATACTAATTTTTACACAATTTTCTTACAGCTTTTAAGACTCAAATGATCTAATAACAATTTAGTTTACATTGATCTGAATTTTAGTGTAGCTATGTCTTGTATTTTTTGTCTATTTGATATGTATAAAGAATAGTAAGCTTGTTTGATTTTTATAAGTATTTTTTCAGAGGTTCTAAGGTGGAAGCAATGACATTCTTTGTAGCACCACTTGATGGGAAAAAGTAGAGGGACAATCCATGTAACGAAATGCACACCTTGTATTAGGAATACCTTACAAACAATGGTTAGGAAGTTCCATGGCTCAAGTGCTTAGCTTGACAACACTATAAAGATACATACTTGTTTAAACAGTTATTAGAAAATAACCATATCCAATTCATTTTTTTAAACTAAATCTTTACCAAATAATCACATTGAATGTAGATTCTCTACATACGTGTGATTTTTTTTTTTAATGTAAAATAATAACTAATACCTTCAACATGTATATGTCAAAATCTTAAAGTTTAACAATTTTTTTTAAAATACTTTCATAAAAAATTAAGACTTCTTTTATAATATTAGAAATATAAGTTTTACATGTAAATGATGTCTTAGAAAAATAAAGATAACATTTTTATTTAATATTATTTTTATAAAAGTTAACACCTCTTTTTCATCTTCTATAGTATATTAGAAAAAATACTGTACATCCACTTGTAAAATAATCCTCTCTCTCTCTCTCTCTCTCTCTCTCTCTGTATATATATATATATATATATATATATAAGTATGATATTAATTTGTCTTATTTATATTTATCTAAATAAATACATAAATGCAAATATATATATATATATATATATATATATATGTATGTGATAAAACAAATGTAAGCATCCAAATTTATTATTATATAATGGATTATTATTAAAAAAAACATTAAACTCATAAACAACACTACAATCACTTAGATGTATGATCTCCAAAACAATATTCAGATGCAACTAAATTGTGACATAAGATTAAACAATGCCTTCCTGTATGTTGCAATTATAAACTTTTCTGTAATGTGATATTTTTTAATATTATGGTTCTCATTACTTATTAATATGTTTGAAATTTCCCCAAAATAAGAAATCTGTTTATTGAATATGATCATTTTATGACCTAATTATACATTTAAGTGACTTGTATTTTTTGGTGGAAAATATATTGATATTTTTTAATAATAACCTTGTTATATATATATATATATATATATATATATATATAGAGAGAGAGAGAGAGAGAGAGAGAGAGAGAGAGAATATAACTTTATGTCAAGCTGAGTCTCCGAAAAATTTCTAATTTGGCTGGTTTGTTAGTTATTTTATGTTAATTTTTTGAAAATAGAAAAAAAAAAGAAAAAGGATAAGAATACTTATCATGCAATTTGGAATTTCTAATCTTGCACAATTCTAATTGAACTTCTACTAATTTCACAAATTTTGTTGAAAAACAAGATAAGATTTATTAATTATCTTGTTTATAACTTACAAGTAAGCTCAAATTGATAAGAACCACAACTATGTAAAGGTGGTTAAATCTTTCTTGACTCAAATTTTTTTATGCTATTATTGACTTATTTATTGACTTAGTTATTTAATTTAACGTATTTTAAAAAATCTAAAATTATTGTTTCTCAATATTTTATTGGGTTATTTTAGATTGACAATCTAATAATAAGGTGGAAAAATTCTACAGAGTTTATTTAAAGTTTAGGACTAATTAACAGCATATAGAGATTTTTTAATTTATCATTGATGGAAGTTAACTTCTGTGCATGCCCATCTTCCGATCTGCAAAGGTTCTACATAAAATGGTCTGTGTCTTGGTAATATTTATTGTTAAGACAACCTCCAAATCATGATTAAAAATGCAATAATGCAAAATTTAAATTAGATTAAATTAAATCTGATATCACATTTCTTGAAAGGAATAAAATAATTATTTTCATTAATTTCAACATAAAATCAAAATGAAACCAGGACAAGTAATTTGTCAAAAAATACTCCAGTTCCCATGTTTTGGATTAATGTCCATAACCACTTACATATACATATATTTGTGATATACAGAGCTTTGATTTAAAGATGTTTTTGCCTGGGGACATAACACAAGATAGATTCCATTTAGCACAAAAAAAGAAAAAAAATATTGTTGAAAACTATATTTCAATAATATATTGGCAAATTGGATAACATCTTGTATTGTTGTGATTATTGTATTATTAATTAGTCATTTGTGTATATATCTACGTATATCTACAATGGTCCACATTCATGACAGTCATCCATCCATCCATCCATCCATAAATCCATCCATACCGATGTCGTCCATCCACATGGGACGTCCGTTCATCCATGGATGGAAAATATGGCAGTACAGCATGGCCACCAATAATTGGGAGCCAAGCCAAGGAAGGCAGCAAGCAGTGACAGTGAGTGATGATGAATGAGGGAGAGAGAGAGGTGTGCTTGCTTGTTTGTATGGGCCTTCAATTTCAGTTAGCAAGTCAGTGAGCAAGTGCATGACATGATATCCCATCTGAAGCAGACTCCAGGGCAGCAGCCCCTCTTTCATTCATTCATTCCCCCCCTTTTCAGCCTCTGATGGCTTCCTCACAAGCAATCAATGTCTCTCATTCAATTCCTCTCTATTACAAACAAGAGGATACCAACAAATCTCAATAAACTCAAAAAACAAAAAATCAATCAATATATATATATATATATATATAAAGATTCAAACTCACAAGAAAGAGAGCTTGCATATGCAATGGAAACATGTGTAGAAGGGGATGTGTTGAATGGTGAATAGGACATGATCTCTTCAACCCCCTGTGGATAAGAAAACAGACCAATAGTAGAGCAACTTTCTTTTTTGACTTGTATGGGGGAGGGGGGGGGGGGGTGAGGCCAGTGGGAACGGGGAACGGAACGCACGGCGTTCGTAACGTTCCCAGAGGGCTGGCTGGGTCTGTGTCCACCGCCCCGTCAGGTCATTCGAATGACACAGCTGGCAGCCGGTTCCGCTAATAAGTGAGCTCGTAGGTCAGGAGGGGTAACAGGCTCAGAACGTGATGAGGTGCGCGGGTCTCCAGTAAACCCCACCCCCTCGCGTAGTAGTAAAATAGTGATTCTGCCAAGTAACTAATTAGCCAGCCTGCCGAGCTCTCCCTCTCGCTCGCAAGCGCGGTCTCGTTGGTTGACGTAGGGTTTTCAACACTGCCTCGATGTGTAGGGCAAACCATCGTGTTACTATTAGAAGAAGATCGCTACTCCATGCGGATTTCGTCTCGGTGCCAGTGAGGAATTTGCTGCGGCTGTTGTGATTCACAGCCTTAGGTGAGCGATTTAGCGCCTTTTTGGTGCCGTTTTCAGCTATATATATATATTTATATATATATATATATATCTATATATATGTAAGTCTGTTTTGTCCGCGACTGTTTCAGTTGGCTACAGGGGAGAGAGTGCGCGAGTAGAGAGCGCCGCTTTGTCGCTCTCAGTGAGTGTAGCATGGATGAGATCCGTGTGTAATTGTCGGGGACATCGGCTTTGTTCGTGTTCCGCGTTTCCTACAGTTTCGAGTTTGTAGTGTCCAGGAGCTTCCGTGTGTGTCGTTCGGCAGGTGCAGGTTGTAAGCGAGGAGTGGAGGCGGAGGAGAGAAATTTGTGTGGGGGCTCCAAAGCGGGGGAAAGATTACCGTTGTGTCGGGATTTGGAGTCGGATGTTGCATTCGTGGATCAGTCGTGGTTTCAGACACGACTGACAGAGGGTTACGCCAGGTGATTTTTACGCATTGCTACCCTGGTTCCTCTGTTCACTGGCGTCCTGGTGAACTCTTCGTTGTGCTTGTGATGAGAGATGTTGAGCTTTGAGAGTAGCTTAGTCTCAAGCTCTGTATTTCAGCTTGGAGCTTGGTGGGCCTGCTCGTTAAGATGTATGCTGCTCGTGTGGAAATGCTCGGCGTCCCTTGGCAGGGTAATGTTTTAGGTAGTCAGGGGAGGATGATTTTTTCGTATGAGATTTTGTGGCCGTGAAGTTGCCCTTCATTCTGTAACCTAGCGTGATCGCGGCTCTCTGAATGACATTTAGCGAACGTTTGATGTATTTCTTTTTGGTGCGTCCGTGTTACTGGACGCCTCTTAGTTTTGAGTCGTAGAGTCTTCTGTCCAGAAATTGCTTTAGTAATGGCCCAGTGCCCACATTTTCCCAAGCATCTGCCATTTGCTGTCGATGAGAAGATCCAAATTTGATTTTTGGTTTCAGCGTTGTTGTGGTTGGTGTCAACAGTTTTTTCCTGTTGATCGTACTCGTAGTGAGTCGCTGACGAGAGGCTACGCTACCAGCAGATTCCGTTCGCTTGCGCTTATGTCGGGACAAAACTCTATACTCGGTTTGTATACTTCCAGTTTGCAACGACTTCCGTGATTTATCTATTTATTCATATCGTGGAAGTATTTGCTCCGCACACCAAAATTGTCTAGTTTCATGTAGCATCAACAGCTTCCTGCTCGTCATTGCTTTAGGTGCTCATACAGAAACTATCTAAGCAGCTACCATGAGCTCATTTCGCCCAGTTCACTCCAGTAACATTCCCAAGACATCGCCTGATTCTACCATTGAAGTATCGTGGATGTTTTAATCCTTTCAATTGCATGTTTTTTTTCAGCCGTTAATATATGTGCTTTCTAATGCGAAATGTTGCCTCATCCTTGCATGGCTTTTTCTGCATTACTCGATTCTGCCTTTCTTATTCTCAAGCACATAGTCTTGATCATGCAGTTTTTGTGTTTGACTTATCTGTTCCACATTCCATAGCAGTCAGCGCCGTGCACGTCCATCTGTACATCTGACTATTTTTATTTATTCCACAATTTCTCATATGGATACCTACTAACACCATGATATGTCCTGTATGCTCGTGCAGATCAATCAACATACGCACAATCGCCAGTCACAGCTACGGTCAAGAACCAACAACTTTCTCGCTGAAGTTCCGACAAAAGACTGGAAACTGGATTAGGCTTAGTTTTATGTTCATGAGCGCAACAACTTCGTTTCAACGTGTCGACAGTACTTAGTTTTGCAGCGACAAGAAGATGGATAACGGTCAGGAGTTGGGCGTTAGAGCGTTAAAAGTGCAAGGCATTTTCAATCAGTTCGATAGAAACCAAGATGGTTTTCTCAACAGGAATGAAATGGCCAGCTTGGTGATCGCTGTCAATCCCCGGGTGAAGTTCAGTAAAGAGCAGATCGAAGCCATTCTTGACGAAGTATTCAGAACGTATGGGGAGTTTATTGATGGTAACAGGGGTTTGAGCTTTGAGGGCTTGCTGCGAACTTACGATGACGGAGCTGGTGACGTGGACAGGGACTTCGATGCCCTGGGATTACAGTTGCCTGAGAAACCGGCGCCGTTATCTACTCCACAGAGAGAAGTTCCAATTGGAGTGCTTGCGGGTAACAATGTTGAAGCACGCAATGCTGGTTCTACTCATCCTACGGCAGCTCTAGTCACAGAATCCTCTCCCTCAGTAATGAAATCCCCACCGTCGATTGTAAATGAAAGCTCAGGCCAGGTGAGCAGGCGCATGTCCCGGGTGCCTGAATGGGCCAAGTCTGCGAACAATGGTATTCAGTATGAGGATACGTGGAGGCTGATAGAGGACTTGGAGGTTCTGCTGAAGAGGCGGGAGACTAAGATCGAGGGGAAGCGGAAGCAGAGAGCGGACAAGAAAGGGGCTGGACTAAATGGTTTGGGCTCTACGGACTGGGAAGATGGTACAGAGCAAGGCGAAGGGGCAGGGATGAAGCGTGGGGAGGGAGAGCTAGGGACCGATTTTGGTGTTTTCAAGAAGGACCTTCAGGAATTGCGTGAGAGGGTGGGGAAAGTGCACACCCCAGATGAAGCATTTGATGGTCACATGGCTATGGGGAAGAGTCTATTTGAGCGTGAGTGGCTTGAACAAGCGCTAATTAGCTTCCAGCTGGCAGTTCAGCTGAAGCCGCAGGATGTGCGGGCTCACTTCCTAGTGGGTAATTCTCTTTACTCTCTGGGTCGGTACGAGGAGGCCAGGACGTCGTATCAGAAGGCTCTCGAGGCAGGGGAAGAGAACGCTCAGGAATGGCAGGGTATTCTTCCACAGGTATGATTTTCACATCGGTATTTCTGTAAGTAGGGGTCCATGAGAGTTCTCTATTGCGCAAGCGTGTTAGTTTGTCTAGCCTTTAATGGCATTATATTTCCGCCCAATCACCTGGTATGTACATATGAGTCGTATTTTCTTACCTCCCGGGCTCTGATTTATAGTCAATAGGTTGGCGTTTGTAGCAAGTTGACCTCTCTTAATGATTTGGAATGCTCAGGTGAATTTTAGGGGCTCAACTGTTCTTCTTTGATCACGAGTTTCGTGTCTTTCTTCAGGTACATGTTAACCTCGGAATTGCCCTGGAGGGGGAAGGTATGTTGATGTGTGCATGTGATCATTATCGTGAGGCAGCAATACTGAACCCTCGCCATTACCGAGCATTAAAATTATTGGGAAGTGCCCTTTTTGGATTGGGTGAATATAGAGCTGCCCAAAAATGTCTTGAGGAGGCATTGGTTCTGAAACCAGATTATACAGATGCTCATTGTGATCTTGGTTCAGCTCTGCATGCATTACATGATGACGAGCAGGCCATTTTGGAGTTTCAGAAGACTATTGATTTGAATCCTAACCACGTGGATGCGCTGTACAATCTGGGTGGACTATTGAAAGACTCTGGAAGGTTGGGATTCTGAAACCATTTTGGAAAATGTGTAGAATTATGTCTTAATATTGTTGTGGTGAGCAATTATTATTGTGTCTTTTAACTCATCGCAACCTTTCGATGTAGGTATGAAAGAGCTGCTGAAATGTATGCCAAGGTGATTCAGCTAAGGCCCCGTGATTGGAGGGCGCAGCTCAACCGAGCAGTCTCCTTGTTGGGAGCTGGTGAACAAGAAGACTCTAGGAAGGCTTTCAAGGAGGCTTTTAGAATGACTAACCGCTTGGATATTTATGATGCTATCAAGCATCTGAAGCAGAGGAAAAACATAACTGCATTTGCCGCAAATGCAGAGCAGAGTGCTACTGGTCGGCGCACTCTTACTCATGGTATGTTTGTTTCAGGGGGGACCCGAATTCTATTAGGGTCTTTGAAGTCTTTTAATTTGAAGCCTGGTTGTCAACCTGCACAAGAAACTGGGAAAGTTTCCCAATGTTTCCTTTTGAATGCGTGGTTTGTTTTTCCGCCAACTCAGCTGCATGTGTAGAGTAATGTAATATTTTTGACTGTGTTCCTGCTTCAAATGCATCAGTTGCACTTAAGATAAAGTTGTACAAATCGTTACTGATTTTTTACTTGGGCTATTGTATCGCAGAGCCTAGCTTTATTCAGGTGGATAGAACCAAATTCAGGCAGGCGAACAACAACACAACCCCCCGGGAGTATTTGGAGTGTGCACTCAACATTCGCAAATTTCAGAAACACACGAGGCTGGTCTCCTGCGATATTAGCACTTTGTCAGCAGCGATAGACAGAAGTGGATATCTACGTGCCAACGAAAAATTTGGTGCCGCACCCACTCAAAACGAGAAAGTAGTTCGCAAAGCTGAGTTAGAGAAGATATTACCTGGGGTTCTCCAAGTTCACAATCCAGATACTTTTCAGGTGTGCTAATTTTACTAAAAGCCATTTTACCCCCCTTCGGCGTTTCGTCAATTTTTTACTATTTCAGTTTTGTCTGTGCATGCAAATCATTTTCACCTTGGCAGATTTTATTTCAATATTTGTGCTGTTATGCCTCTTTTTTCTCACCAGGAGCTGCACTTTGGCTGCAGAGTGCTGTAAGGGCCATAAACGAGCGCATCCTGTCTGTTCTAGACCGAAGTGGGTCAGGAAGAGTCGACGTTGGCATGTTTTTTGCAGTGTTAGCTCCTCTCTGTGGAGGTCCAGTGGAAAAGAGGAAGCGTCTGGTTTTTGATGTTCTCAGACGGCGGGTATCACATCCAAGGGAGGGCGTTGCTCCCAATGCAGATGTAAAATACTACATGAAATTACTGCGAGCAATCTATCTTCCTACTCAGGTGCAGTCCAAACAAAAACTGAAAGAAAGCCTACAGCTATTGTTTTATTTTTTATTTTATTTTTTAATTTTTTAATTTTCTCCTTTTGTCTTGCTTCCTTTTGTGTAGTCTTCTTATTGATTACATTTTAATTTGTGGTTAATAGACATTGTTCATGATGCTGTGTGTCAACCTCTTTAATTTCTAGGGTATTTATTTATTTATTTATTTTTCCAGGGCACAAGTGAATTGGCAGAGGTGCATGGCGAAGACGACAAGGTGCAGGTCTCATTCCCAGAGTTCAGGGGCATGTTTGACGATCCCAACTGGGGTTTCGGCATCTTGAGCACTTTGGTGAAGCTCGAACAGGTCGACCGTGTACGTCACAACGGTGTCTTATGCGGCGCCTGCGATTACGTCATCGTTGGGCCTAGGTTCAAAGAAATCACCAAAAAGTTCAACCTGTGTTCCACTTGCTACAGTGAAGGAAAGGTCCCAGCTCATGTGAAACTGGATGAGTATGTATTTAAGGAATATAGCACTGAAGCCGAAGGCACTTGGGGTCGGTTCAACTTCTTTGGTAGTAGTAAGCAACTAAATGCACAAGCGCAAGCTGTTTAAGCGGTAGGGGCTTCCACTTCATCTCACATTTTTGTTCGAGTAACAATTCACGTCACTGGTGGATATACGGGTTATAAGCGAACAGGAATTTTTCAGTATATAAGATCAATAGAGGACTTCTGAAGAAGTGCTTGTGGACGGGAAACCTAGTGGAGTGGAAAGGAGAGAATTCTGGGTATCTACTGGACAATTCACTGTCACGGATTGGATTTTGGAGGTAATCTTGTTGAACCTTGGCGTGCTTGTTTCTCTCCAATGGGGAAGGGCTGTGATCCTACAGGCAGTGAGTGCGAAGGACCAAGTGAACGATATTACGGGTTTGGTTTTAGCTCTGAGACTGGTAGTGTTAGCTTCATGTAGATGGTCATGTTCTAGATTAGTTTTGTGTATAGATGGTTTCTGCCTCGATAAGATCGATTTGCACAATTATTTGCGCCAATCACATTCTGATTGAGTTGTGTCTTTTTATAGAGGTCTGCTTCTGTAAAACTTGTACTCATCATGTTTAAAATTATCAAGCTTGAGAGTATTGATTTCTGCCAGTAGTTTATCCCTTTTTTGTAACACGCTAAAACCGAAATAAAGTGTGTTGTTGTTTAATGGATATATCGTTACATATATGTGTGTGGGTGTGTATTTTTTCTTCCTCAATCAGTAATTCCTGAAAGATTCAATGTTCGGACGGAAACATGTCAGCCTAATTGTTAAATGTGATAACAGTATACCAGAAAATAGCGACCTTATCGAAGAAAGTTGCTTGTCGCACGTTTGACAGTCTGCTATATTAACATAAACGTTAGTATGAAAATGCTTTCGCTCACAGTCAATATATACTCTACCAACGTAGGTCAATCGTTTGCATATGCCAGGAACAAATTATGAGAAAAAACTAATGTTATCTACGAAGTACATAATACAAAATCCTTGCATATTTCTCTTTGAGAAAAGCAGCACTACAGAGTACTTAATCAAGCTCAGCGATACCCAAGTTCGAAATTATAATTTTTAGCTGCTCTACGAAGTTGGCCCCAGTTGCGTATTCAGTCAACAAGCCTACTGCAATACCGAACATTGTCCACCTGCACCAACAACACAGCGAGTACTTAGATATATTGTTCAGGCACGCCAAGGGCGACGATAGTAAATAAAAACTGCGGGAGCATTGCTGCTACTAAAGGATGAGAGTAATTGACCAAGAACTTGAGTGCATGTTTCCCACTCATGGGATATAGGGGAAGGGGCATGTCTCACTTCGTCATAAACAAATCCTCGTTCGGAGTACCAAAGTTCCGCAGTGCCAAAGTTCCGCAGTGCCATGAAAAGCTTGAGGATCATACAGTGCGTACACTAGAGAGAGTACTACACTTTCTGGACTGTCGACTTTCGAGAAAATTAGAGTGCCGGGTATAAGACACGATGAGAACTTATAGTACACGATGAGAACTTATAGACTCGCTCAGCTACAAGGCGAGTAAAGCACTCTCTTTCATCTTTAATTTAATTTAATTTAATTTTCTTTATCATTATCTCCCGTTTAAATGCAATCGAAAAAGATGTCACTTCAAAACTTGGACATGCAGGGGAATTCTTCATACCGTTAGAATCAAACGCAGACTGTAAGGATTTGTCGCACATGTGTGTAGAACTCAAGCTTAAATCATGAAGTCGAACTCGCTATACACTCTGCATATGAAATTCTAGATCGCTCTTAACAATATTACATTCCTTTCACCTAAATGCGTTGCGGAGTGCACACACACACACACACACACACACACACATATATATATATATACAGAAACAAAAGAGAAAGAAACCCTTTCATAGGTAATGAACAACTCACCCAAGGAGCACACAATTACAAAGAAATGGACTAAGCTGTTAGAAATCACTAATGCGGACCGCCGAACTATGATCTAGTAGCAATAGTACCAAAGGAAGTTAAAAAATACTCTGAACAAGGAGAGAATTACATTACCTGCCATTTGTGATCTCATTCTTTTGCGTCCAACCGAAGATTCGGTCCGCTCGAACCTGCTCCTCGTACTTCTTGTCCAAGAAATACTCCTGCAATTCCTTTGCCCGCTGCCTTTGGTATTCAATGCTCACAGCACTAGATTTGGACGGTGTGACCTTGGGTGGTGCAGGGGAGGAAGAGGATATCTGTGAGGGAGAAGGAGATGGAGATGGCTCAGAAGTAGGAGGAGAGGGAGGAGCCGGCGATGTTGCGATAGACGGAGCAGCACCAGGCGCACTGGGCCGTCTCAACGGACCTTCTGCATTGCTAGATCGAATTACAGACAGCGTTCTCTGCTTCGCAACTCTCTTATGCCCCAACCGACTTGAAGTGGATAGCGAAAGCGAGGGTAGCGCGCAGCTAAATTGATGAATGTACTGCAGCGTAACAAATCCACAAAGGTCTGAAATTGAAACAGCGTGCCCACGCATTCAGATATTCACGAGAATGCGTGCGTGTACAAAAAACACTACACTGCTAGGGTTTTCTGTCTAACAAAACTATAATCCAAGTCACCCGGGCAGAGTGATCCAGCCGAATTTCGAAACAAAAACTGTAGACTACCAGTGAAACAACCTCTAATCCTTAACATTCCCACACAGAGCAGACAGAATCAAAATAATGTAAACAGTCATCACGACCAACTAGCCATCACAACCTCCCCAATCAAAACAATCTCAACGCAACCAGTTCATCGTCATCATCTCTCTCTCCCTCTCTGTCTCTCTCTCTCTCTCTCTTTCTCCTCCAGCTTATCAACATCACATGCTCAACCACGAAAACACTAGAGAAAACCACAAAGCAATTGTACCTGGTCTCCCAGCACCGCACACCCTCCGACAGCGGCCCCTGTCATCGCCATCGTCGCCATCTCCCCTCTCGCGTGGTCACGGCAACTCTGGTGGGGGTGAATTCACACACAATCAATCTCTCGCACCGATCTCCCGCGGCACTTGAGGGAAAAAATTGTGATGCAGACGTCAAGACTGTAGATGAATTTTTTTCCGAGGAGAGATGAGCGTCCGGAGGGTATGCGTCTGAGTGTCTGGGCCTCACAATGCAAAAGCGAGCTATGGTGGGAAGAGGATAAGGGGTAGAACTCGGGGTGGAACTCACTGCGAGGGCAGGACTGGGCCGGGCCAGGCTGGGCCATCACGCAGTGTGGGAACCCAGCCCCCGATCTCACAAACAGGTGGCCAGGGAGCCGCCAGCCCGGCCCGTCTCAAACCCCCGACCCGACGCTCGCGTCACTCCATCGCCGCCGTTAGACGCCGCAATGGCTGGGATCTGTTCGACGTGGCGGGTGGCCTGTGGCTTCCACCATCGCTGACGGGGATGCTGACGTGGAAGTGGAGGTCGCGTCGTATGACGTGGATTGTGGAAGAATTCTGCCATGTTGTGGCGTCGTGGAGCTTTGGTGTAATACAAGGCATTCTTCATTCACTTGGCTTTCCAGTAGAGCCTCGTTTATTAATTTATTATTATATTTGTTTGTTTTTCATACTTTCTACTTTTGTGCACTCTATGAAAAATGTAGAAGGTAAAGATTTAATGTGTAGAGATACAAGAGAGGTGGCTAGTAGAAGGTAGATGGTATTTGATACCATGAACAAATGTGTGTATTTAGGACAAATAATTTGAATACTAAGAATAAAATAGTATGTACCTTTTTGAGACTGAATAATTGTTTTGAGAGATATATTATACTGTGATGTATAATATTTACCACCAATCTAAATAGGTGTTGCATGAAACTAAAGTTTATTTTACACATACAATTTAAATAATATTTGATATTTCTTCATTAAAATAATTTTGGATATTGAAAATTTTCATTCTATGTTTTGAAAAAAAGTATTCATAAATATGCATAAAATACAACATGAAATATTATTACATATCAATGGAATTTTAAAAACCTAAATTATTATGTACGTCAGGAATCATGTGTAAACATATAAATCATGTATTAACATATTATGTTATTTGACCAAAACTTGATTGTTTTAAAAAAAATAATATCATATATATATTAATTTTTTTTTATTGATATTTTAATGTTATTATAAATCTTTCTTTTTATCATAGTATGTATGCTTCACTCTTTTAGCCATGTGAAGAGCAATAGTTGATTCATTAATACAAATAAACAATGCAATGAAAAATATTAAAAAGTAATAAATTAGCTAAACATTTACATTAAAATATTATGAGGCTCACAATTAACAAGATAATCCAAGGAATGAAAAAATAGTAATTATAATATTTCATTTGTGTATGCTATTTATAAGGCTATAAGGTGGTTGTCTAAGTTTTTTGATAATAATTTACTTAAGCTACAAAAGAAAACAAGGCTTCTTCAGAAAATCCTAATTAGTCCTACTAGCTCCACTACCATTGAAGAATCAAAATAAAAGTAACAAAACAAACTAATATCAATAGCTTTTAAAGTAAATTAAAAAGACTTGCTTTCTAAATTTTTACTAAAAGCCTTTAAAGATATTTTTAAAATCTAAAACAATAATTAAAAAAACTGGAAATGATGTCTATATTTGAATTTAGTTTAATTTAATTTCTTTGAAAAGTAAATAAGATGTTGTGTTTTTTTAATTCTAAGTAATTACAGATTTTTTATATTTTTTTGCTAAAAAACATAAATTGTAATAATATCAGTTATATATATATATATATTTTAAAATTTTTAAGTTCAAGTAAAAGTTTTTTCAGATTGAAATAAAGAGTTTTTGCTTATTAGTGCATCAATTGTCATTTCATCTTGTTTTAAAGTTATTAAGTCGAAGTATCTCGTAATTAAAGTAATTTATTTCAAATTTATCTAAAAATATATATATTTTTTAAAGGAACATAATCATGTTTAACTTAGGACAATAATTGTATTTAAAATATAAATAATTTAATGAATATAATTTTAAATTGTGCTGTGTGAAAGTTTTTCTAGATATAATTAGGAAAATTAATTATCTTGGTGTAAATTGATGAGTTATTTTTATTAATAATTAAATTTATTATTAATTTGTAAAAAAATTGAATTTTTTATTTTAAAAAAATTACTTATCTTAAAAAAAATTTAAAAATTTAAAAAAAATTATGGTCTCTAATTTTAATAATTAAAATTAAAATTTTTAAATTATTATTAAAATATATATTCTTAATTTTTTACTTGCACTGTTTTTTTTTTTAAAGAAAAAAACACGTAAAATTTATCAAACAACTACTTATTATATTTATTTTAAAAATTTATATTCAAAAAAAATATTTTAAGAAAAAATATTTGAATAATAAAAAATATTAAATTAATAGTCTAGAAGTATGAATAAATAGAAAGTATATTATCATTTACTTTTATTTGTTTTAAAGATTTTTTAAATTTTAAGGAAAAAATTGAAGAAAAAATATCAACTTTGTTTTTTCTGGAGTAAAAAGATAATACAATTATATATACAATAAAGAAATTTTATTTAAAGATATTCTATTATAAATATTTAGTACATAGATATAATCAAAACATCAACAAGAATATAGAATAACCGTCATTAAACTAAAAGAATGTATTACAACAGCATAAAAGATTTATTAGAAAACAAATTTAAACTAAGCATATGCTATTGATGGCATTTCAAATTATTAAATATTAAAAAAAAATAGTCTATTCAAGATTTGTTCTTAGAACTTTTGTATAACAAGTTGTATGACTTATTTTTGTACTAGTATACTTTAATTATTACAATCTTCTATGTAATAGATTGTTTGGTTTTAGAAAGTGCAATTGTAAGTGCATGAAACAAAGCTAAGTTGGTTCAAATCTAATAAAATTGAAGGATATAAGATTCTAAGTTTGCAACATTGACAAAGGTTGTAGAATTGAGTAGTTAATAAACATATTGCCTCAAAATCAGACCTTGGGGTACAAAACCACGCCTTAACAACAAATGTTGTTATTTTTATTTTTATTTTTATTTTTGTTGATTAGAGAATAAGATTAGAAAACAAAATTTCTCGAGTATGGTTGAAAATTAATTTAAGTAATTTGGAATAATATTAAACTTGTAAGAGCTTTTCAAACTGAGATATTTTAAGTGGTTTTGGTTTTTGAGAACTAAAAAAGAATTTATATATTGGAGATTTTTTTTAGCATTCTAGCATATTAAATAATAAGATATTGAAGACTTACAGATCTACTTGCCTTGAATATCTTTTACAAATTTAAATTCAATTAATCAATTAGCTCAAATATTATTAAAATCAAATTAGATTAGAATCTTGGAATTTGGATTTCTTTGATCTTGAGTAATGTAAGGATTTTTTTGATCTTGAGTAATGTAAGGATTTTTTTGATCTTGAATAATGTACTGGTTGGATTGTAGCAAATTTACGTAAGTAAAGTTAAAACTTAGTTTTAAAAAAAAATCTTAATTTTTTTGCAAGTGAATGGTTCAATAAAAAGTTATTATTGTTAGAAGATCAACATTAATGCTATGGAAGGAGGACGAAAAATATCCAAGCAACTAAAGAGTTATTTATTTATTTATTTATTTTTATTTTTTTAAAATTAACAAGTTAAATTTTGGTTGTTATTAATAATTATATTGTAATTTTAGTAAAATATTAAGTAAGATTAATAATTTAATCAATTATTATTGAGGTTTTAAGAATATCATAAGATTGGTTATATTTAGCTAGATTTTGGTTATAATTTTATTATAGTTTTCAAATATTTTATTATGATTTTATCAGGATTTATTTAGAATTTACTTAAAATTTGTTAGGATTTTTTAATATGTTTTTTAGAATTATTTTTTTTATTTAGGATTTATTTAGTAATTAATTAAGATATTTTTAGTATTTACGTAAGAATTCTTTAAGATTTTTTTATAAATTCTTTTGAATTTTTAAAAGACTTTTTAAGGTTTTTTTTAGAATTTATATAAGATTTATTTTTGAAGTTTTTTTAAGCTTTCTTTATAATTTCTTTTGGATTTTAATTTATGAATTTTTTTGTAATTTTTTAATGATTTCTTTATAAATTATTTTGGTTTTTAAAATAATTTTAAAAAATATTTTTTTGTGATTTTTTTTGATTATTTTATTTATTTATTTATTTTTTTGTATCATTTAATGATTCTTTTTAAAATTTCTTTAAGATTTTTTTAAATTTGATTAAGATTTGATAATTATTATTAAGATAAATTTAAGAATTTTTTAGAATTTTATGAGAGATTTTAGATTCTTTACTTGATTCAAATACAATTTATCTTCTACAACCAAATGCCTATTGTATTCCCATATTAATCTTCATATAATACAATATTGCAAATAGACTAGACCAAAGATCATTTAAGCTCGAATCTCCTTTATTACATGAATATCTTTGGCAATACCATCGAATAATAAATAAATTAATGTGATCTAATCTCTTCAAAATTTATCACTAATAAATGTAATATTTTAAGGAAAATAATTAAAATAAGGGTGAATGATAAAAAAAAAGTAAATACTTAGGGTACAAAATAAACGACCTTTAGAGGTGATATTATATATAACTTTAATATCTACATGAATGTATTACCTAATTTTGAGCCTAACATCCAACATTGCCTCTAAATTGGTACCAATATCTATAAGTAGCTCCATAAGGCTAATATTGACATTTAGTGGATGTCAAAGAATGAAGCAAATAAAGACATATCATAATAAATGATATGTTACTTCTAAAAACTCTAATAAAGTTACAATCTCCTAGCATTCCAAAGATAGTTTTAGACATATTCTCTATGGAAGAAATGAATCATTGTAATATCATGTAAGAACCTCTAAAAATGGTGAATTATATTGTTTTAAAAAATTAGACTTAGATAACAATGTATTTTTTTTTTTTAATAAAATTGATTCATAAGATAAGTCTAATGCCAGTATATTGCAATCAAATAGAATTTCTGCTAATATAATTATAGTAATTCTTGTAAATATTACTAATTTTTTTTTTGTCATTGATAAATCATTTTAATCTAATCCATGCTTTTTCATTTTAGTTGTCAAAATCAAAACCAAGAAAATAAAGTACTTATTGACTAACTAGAA